ATCGAACCCATATATGGGTGGGCGGGGAGCGCTCTCATCACTGCACCATCCCTGCTTCTTCAAACTGGAGTGGAAAAATTTCTATCTATGCAAAAAATTGTACGGAAACTTTGCCATGAACGTGGATTTCTATGGATGGCGAACTTGTTTAAGTCACTAAATTATTACTGTCTTTGTTGTTTTCGCAGACGTACTCGCAGCGCTGGTCATTAATACAAGATATCAAGGAATTTATTTGCGGGGCCTCAAATCTGACGCATACCTTTCGGTTTTGTTTCACTCTAAGATCGTTGAAATAGTAAGTAAAGCAAATAAATTCTAGTTTAAACTAGACTGAAAATACGTATAGCAATGATCCTGGCAGGTGTACGGCAATTAAAATCCCAAAGATTTACTTGCAGGTCTTCTTTTCTTTTTCTTTTCATCAAATAGAAGATCTGCGGTGCTCAAATTGTATAAGTCATGGTACGAAACACTCTTCTTAGCAGATAGAGCCGTGATCGCCGCCATATTGAATTCTCTTGATATTCTATTGTTCCGGAGTGTAATACGATATACCGCTGATAATTGTTAGCGGGCTCGAAATGTCCTTGATTTCTGGCGATGAATTATAAAGAATGGACTCATTCCTTATTTATTCCATGTTTTCATGGCATCTGTTCTCGCATACTTCTGTATATCCTATAGTGTAACTATATCCTATAGTCCGCTATCCATTGGAGAAAGCAACATGGGCCCAGGTCCTCCTGGTGTAACTATCTTTTGGATGCGACCGGTTTTTAATCTGAGGATTGATCCAAACCAGCTGTCCTCAGGAAGTGATACTGTCAGCTCCCTTTCACTTCCTCCTAGAAACATCACTGGCGAGGCAAGTAATACACCAAAGAAAAGAGGCCCCCGCGAATTCTAACGTGCAAGGGAAACTGATAGTGTCTGAAAAAATCCTTTTGAGGGAAATGACCTCAAGGTCACATTTCAGTTGGGATCTTTTTGTTTATTTTCTCAATCCCAGGGGTATCGACCACAAAGAAAGTTTTCACTTCAACATGCCCCTATTTTTAATAATAATAATATATGTACTGATAGGAACCATGGGATATCATTTGATCAGTTTCATACTCAACTCTAAAGCTTATAAAACCCACTCTAATTTTCTTTAAAATGACCTTTTTTACGAGAGCATATCCATCTTATAAAGCGAAATTTAAGGTGGAAAGCTTTGATTCAAAGAACACCTGTTTTTTCTCTCACTAGATGAATTTCAGTCGCGTCCTTGTTCCTCTTCGACGTTTCAACTGTACTTGGATTGAATATGATGTAAGTCAAATAACTTGAATTATAAATAGTAAAGAGTCAGATGGTTGGTGCTGAGGGGGGAGGGGTAGTATACGACTTTCATTCTTTTCTGCAGCAAATTAGTGGCCAGTTGTCAATGTTACAGAAACTTTCCTTGGTTAAATCAGTCAAATTTCTTTTTCAGGTAAATGGAACGTTAAAATTCACAGCCAGGGAAGTTAGAGATGGGGAAAAAGAGAGGAAAGCTGTGGCTAAAACTCACCTGGATCTCGTTCTCAGCAGCATTTCTACAGTGCTTGTTATAATTTGCTTAATACTGCTTTCCTGCCTAAGGTGCTCAGTCAATTTGATACTCAGAAGTGTGACTAATATGCCCATCAATTCGAAGTTTCAGCATCCCCCGGGCACCTTACTGGCTTTTTAATGTCGTCCGTGGCCGGGGGAGGGGAATTTGAACCTTGCTTGGGATGGGGTGGGGCATTTGAACGGCAAGTGCCAAGTCTTATTAACGTAATACACGTCTTTCAAAGGAGGATTTTCAAGGTAAAGAGCCTGCTTTCGTGAGCTTTTTCGAGCACAAGTTTGGCTCGGGGGGGGAGGGGGATTTGAAGACGCTAATCTTCAAAAGTTCAAATGCCCGGAGGGGATATTGAAGCTTCGAATTGATCGATGCATAACACAGTAGTCGGACTGCCTGACTAACGACTTACTGGTGCACTGCCTTACTGGCGGACTGACTGTCCGGACTGACGATTGACGGGCTGAATGACTCAGCCATCAACTATCTGACTAACTAATTGACTGACCGGCTGGCTGGCCGTCTGACTGATTAGCCAACTGTCGGACCGACCGACCGACTGACTGACTGACCAACTGACTGACTGACTGATGGACTGACTGCCGTCTGACTGGCGGAATGGCTGACTGACTAACTTACCGACTGAAGGACTAACTTGGTCGCTTACTGCCGTACGTACAAACGTGGACTGACTTCCGACTGATATACCAGTAGTTTTTATGCATATATATAACCAGCTGAACTTTACTCTGCAACTGAATTACTAACACAAACATGAATTGAAGATGAAGTACCGACTATAAAGCTAA